AACAAATTCATCGACCAATCAGATAACAAAAGGACTTTCCCGGTATATTCAAACTTCAGATTGAATTAATTTCTTCGAAAATAATTAGATCTGCCAGCACAATCGCCAAATTAACACTGAAAGAGGGGGATTTGGGACTTCTTCTTTGGTAAGTAGATGGGTATATATGTGGTGAAACTCAATATGCAAAAAAGTCCGGAGGGGTCTTGATTGTGTTATCCTATGGCATAGAGTCTCTTTAAGAATTTTAACAAGTGCAGTGTTTGAAAAATTGAGAAATATCAGGTCTCAAAGGATCACGGAAAGTATCGCAACATATTGCAGACAGTCATATGTTAGATTTTGTCTGTTTCCTGAGGATTTAAGCAGGTGCATATGATAGGCCATTGCATTACCTACGGGAAAAGAACTCTTAGAGATGATAAAATAGTTTGGACTTTGAGACAGCGAAGGTGCAAACAATCCACCCACATGTTTTTTCGGAAATGTTGTCCTGATTTTCAAGCCCTTTTACCCCTGCTTTTTTCAATTTTTGTTGCATCGATATGTTGCGTTTTGAGACATAGTTAACCCATAAAAAGGAATAATAAATTTCTTTTAAATAAAGCAGAAAACAATATTTTCCTGTTATTTTCCCATATTTGATATCTTTTAAACCCTTGATGGAATGCATTATTTCTTTAAAGGGGTTAACTGTGTATCAAAACACAACATATTGATGCATGTGGGTGGGTTGTTTGCACCCTGTCTCAAATAGAAATTATTTTATCCTCTCTATGAGTGCTAACTGCTCTTAGGGGTATCGTATACAGTGTAGTAATTGATTGATTAAATGGATTATAACTAATTAATTATTATTTGATGATATTTATTATGTGATATAGCATTTTTACTTTTTCACATCAACATGTTCGATGTAATGTTCTACATTGTCAAAATACATAAAGACATGGTTAATTAAAAGAAACATGATTTCTCGATATTTTGTTATGCCCATACCGTAATTAAGCAATGATCATCTCCTAATACAAAATATTATTATAAATTATCAAATTATAATCACTACACTCCCAATAAAACATCAGACAACAGTAATTATTTGGGAAAATAAGGATCATACCCCGCTGGGCCTAGAAACTCCCGTTAGTGCAATGAGATTAGGAACTCCAGGATAAAAGGGTCTTGTCACACTAAAATCTTCATGTAGATCAAAAAAGTATATATGGTAATATATATGATCAATATGTTTCAAACAAACAGACATTGTAGAAAATGTTTACATACTGACTTTGCAGATGACATTTTCTAGCAGTTGAAGAATTTTTTTACATTTATTGAAATGATAGTCATAAAATTAGAAAATCAGTGTCATTTGATGCAAATTACTGTAGTCCCACATGTTCTCCTGCTGAATGTAAAACAGAGGAGTGAATCAGCCTCTTCAAGAGTGGAATTTAACAGGGGATTTCAGTTATCATTTTCACAGATATTTGAGTTCTCTCCAATAGTTCCACTTAAAACAATCTTGACATTTGGCACACTTTTAGAATGCTGCTTTATTAAATTTCTTTGTAATCTTTGAAAATTTGTATTATATGACTTGGCCAAAAGGTATTCATATTTTTAGGTAATGGTGTAATTTCTTCTTTGGATTAAAGTTCAGTAGGGGAAGCATCCATTCTTCGCATTCTTTCAGAATCCTTTACCGATGGAGACTACTAGGAGTCTAATATGAAATCTATTCTTTGGGCTCATTTACTAGATTTGATGGAGTAGTCAAATATAGCTTTCCAAAACTCTCCAAATTTCAACATATAAGTTAATCTTAATTTTCCTTTTGTCATAGCCATTGCATCGATCACGAACGTTTTATCAATTTGTGGTATGGTTTCATCGATCTCCATTTCAAACCCCTTTTTAAGTTCTGATTTTACAGATAAGATAGATGATCATTGTCAAACGAACTGTTTGTATAGATCATAGTTTACTCACACATAGCTAGGCTACGTGTGTCCAATTCCAGCCAATTCAATACTCCATATAACTGCATTCCAATTTACTACTCTCATAAACCCAAGGTCAATTTTAGATTCAAGAGAAAGTAATGAAACCAATAAGCTGATCAATAACATTGACTAAAAATCTATAAATAGCATCATAGGGAATAGCATGCCAAGTGCTTGTATTTGAATTTATGTGGATTACTCATTTGGTAGACACCTTTATCAAATCTTAAAGTGTTGTTGATTTTCAAGTTGTACAAGCAAAGTGTCATGAGTGCTTTCTTTAAAATTATTTAATGCACGTAGTACAGAAGTTCTAGTTCTTCATCTTGTATAAATGATATATCAACAGTGAAACCTGTATATTCAAACACCTGACTATTCTGAACACCTACCAATCATCCCAACACCTGACTAATCTGAACACCAACCAATCTGAACACTTTTCCCAGTCCAATTTTTCCTCCCATTGACTCCTATGTTTAAAAAATTGAAATCTGAATACCTCTTACTTCAAACAGTGAACACTCATATTTGAAAAATTAACCTGTCTAACTTGAACTCTTTTTACCAAATATCACATATTTCTTACAAAATTGCTCAAATATTGTAAGTTTAACACTGAATTGTTATGATATCAAAACTTTTGAATTGGATTTTGGAATGCTATTAAGCTTTTTATGTGGTCAGTATAAATATTATTAATATTTTTCATTGAGAATGCATTCATATTTCTTCAAAATCCAGAACTTGTATTGTAGATGTAAAAACCTCAGAATTCAAACACTCCTAATTAGAATGCTTTTAGCTGGTCCAAATACCAGTAGCATTCAGATTAGAGAGATTTTACTGTAGTTCACGACTTTTCACTCCATCTATATGCAGTAGACTAACTGCTGCAACAGGTATATATTCTACACCTGGTCTCTAAGCTATGATATCATAGTTGATACCATTATGCTCATAACCTTCAATTATCAGGGCTCATTCAAGGCTGTACCTGAATAACGTGAATTTGAGACCAATTTTGAGATCAATTTTTCAAATTTTGCACTTGTTTAAAACCTTGAACTTCCTTCAAACTCATCTTAGGTATCTTTTACATTTTAGTTAAATACTCTTAAAACTATATATTTCATCCCTGAGGTATAGATGTAAAAACCATAAGGGTCATCTTTGGCTATACCTGAAATTCATGAATTTGAAACCTAACATTTACAATTCTTCAAATTTCGGACTTGTTTAAAACCTTAAACTTCCTTAAAATTCATTTTAGATATGTTAAATCTTAGTCCCACACTCTAAAACTGTATATTTAATCATAGAGGTATGGATGTAAAAACCATAAGGGTTAGCCGTGGCTATACCTGAAATTCGTAAATTTAAAACCTTATATTCACAATTTTTTAAATTTTGGATTTGTTTAAAACCTTAAACTTTCTTAAAACCCATCTAAATTGTGTTTTACATATTAGTTCCACATGGCAAAACCATAAATATCATCATAGAGGAATGGATCTAGAAACTATAGGGGTCAGCCATGGCTATACCTGGAATATGTAAATTTGAAACCTTATATTTACAATTTTTCAAATTTTGGACTTGTTTAAAACCTTTAACTTCCTTAAAACCCATCTAAATTATGTTTTACATCTTAGTTTCACACTATAAAACCATAAATATCATTATAGAGGGATGGATCTAGAAACTATAGGGGTCAGCTATAGTCATACACAAAATCCAACTGTCAAAAATGTCAAATTTTTCGAAAAATCAACATTTTTTTTCTCAGCTCCTACCTTTTCAATGGCTTTGCATCTTTCAGGTTTACTAACCCTGCTATTGGGCACTTCCCATAAATTTTTTCAACCTCTTGCAGTGTCTAATTGAAAAGTTAGGATCAAAATAGTAAGAAAATGAGTCACGAATTTGCCCCCTGGTGTACACACCTTGTACTAATATTCAATTTCCTTAGGAGCAATAAGCATCAATTATACTGCAAATGATTCATATATATAATATCCATGTATGTCACTTACAAACATCAAAATATCTAAGGTTATTTACTGTGAACAATTTTTTTTCCCGGGTGGGGTGTTTTTGGGGGGTGGGGGGCTAACTCCTCAAAAAAAAGAACTTCCTACCACTCTGTGAAGCTATCACCTAGGTGGAAGTTTCATCCAAGACTCTCCCCTAACTGAAAATGCTGCCAAACCAACTATACACCATTTATTGAGAATTATCCTCCTCGCCCCTTGAGTAACACAAATATTGAAGAACTACTTATGATAAAAAACTTTATTAAAAAACGAATGTGATAGCATCTTCAACTTGCTTGACTTTATATAACTTACATAGAGCATATAACTTTCTTTCCATTTAAAGATGTCAGCACTTGTTTCATTCGCCAGCAGGGTATCTCTTGTCATTCAGTTCTGTCTCAATCCCTCAATCAAACTGTCAATCTATATTATTGTTCATTTTAAATCATTTTTTCAACCTTGTAAAACATATAAACATCCATATAAAGATGAACCTCTTAACATTAATGGAGATAGGTTTATTTATCCCATACTTAGTAATGTTATAGGTAAATAACATGCAGGAGTATATAATTGATATGTGACGTGAGCGGGTGATATATATACATGTATCACCCGCTGATATCACCCGCTCATCAAATCTACGACGTCACAAATTCAGGCAGTAGATACTGAGCCAGGAGACTTGGCTATTATTCCTCATAATGTACTAAGTATACAATAAATCAGTTATTAAATGCTTGATTTTTAATACAGGGTATATTCCTCAGTAAATACAATATATCAACCCACGGTCCCTATGGTCCCCTCAGGTAGATATATTGTATTTCCCTCAGATATACCCTGTATCAAAAACCTCCCATTAAATAACCTCTATATATGAATTCTTTGGGTATTTCCTCTTCTTAACTCTTCTGTTTAAATAATCGATTCTTCATGTGCTTTTATTTTTTAGGATGAAACTTCAAAGTCAAGCACAGAGCTAAGTTGGCCATTCCTCCCAGAAGATAAAACAGCTGGGAGTAAAAAGAGGAAAGACCCCTCACCCAATAGTAAACGCAAAGCAATGGAGGTGCACAGAGATTGCGAGAGGTAACAATTTTGCGACAAAATTTACTGGGGAAAAATGTGATGCATTTTCAGCTTTTCATGTTCATCTAATATGGTACATGTTCCTGTTCGTGCCTGGTTAAGGTCAGGGTGCACTTTCAGATGAAATTTCATGACCATGTGCTATTTTCAGAGAAACAACTCATTCCAGACATCATCTGCATCTTACATTCTTGCACAAAATATGCATTAGTGTACCTAGACTATTAATTGAGGGTTGATAATGCTTCATAATATTTGAATAATTAGAATATTCAGTGGTTTACTTTTCAAAGTGCACTCTGGGCTTAAAAAACATTGAAAATCCTTTGTAACAAAACTCTTTTGTCAAAATGCTTTGTGTAATCAAACCCGCTGTGTAACTCTTACTAATGTCTTTTATTCAGTAGTTGAGTTCTCAGAGGCTAAATCAATTTCTATAGAATCATTGAAGAACATTTGCACTTCAAAAACTTCAGGGGTTGAAGTCATATGAAAATTTACTGTGCATGCATTGATGTTTTGTTTTGAGCCCCAATTTACTTAAAGTGTGTATCATTGTGTATTGCAGACAGAGACATCAGAGTCTGAATGAACGTGTGCAGCAACTTTCAGAGACAATTCCAGGCTACGATCCTTACAAGAAAGAAACAAAGGTATATTTATAGCAGTTGGTTGTCACAATTGTAACAGGCCCATAGCCAGAATTTTCCAAGGGGGGTTCACATTTCCAAAAAATTCTAGGGGGGTTCACTATGGCAAATTTGGCCAAAAATCACTCAAAAATAGTCTGGTGAAAAACTGAATGATTCGCCCGAGCCCCCCCCCCTGGCTACGGGCCTGTGTAAAATAACAAATTGTTAGATTTGCAATGAATTTCCAGATTGTTACATTTTGTCATGTGAATCACTATCTTTGTTTATTTCCAATAATATAATGTAATGAGAAATTTTTAGAATGTCCATATTAAGTCTTCATGCTGAAAATCGAAGAGAATATACAGGAATATACGCTTTGCGTCAGATTGTATATGAATACTATATGTAACATGTAAAAAAATTGGAATAAACTTAAACTTATACAGCATTTCCGACCCATATATCCAGTATTTTTCAGACCATTATTGACTAGACAAATGTAATGTTCTATAAAATACACGTGAATACCTTGTTATATATTGTTTTTCAGATTCAGCAGCTGGAGAAGATTATCAACTACATTCTTTTTCTGGAATCTGATGTTCTGTCCTTGTGTAAGGAACTAGGCCTCACTTGTAACTTTCAACACATGCTACTTACCCCACACATCAGTAATAGCAACCTATCAGGTAACCATAGCAACCAATCAGAAAACCATATCAACTTATCAGGAAAACATAGCAAACATTCAGATAACCATAGCAACTTATCAGGTAACCATAGTATTGAATCAGGTAACCATACCAACTAAGTAGGTTACCATAGCAACCATTCAAGTAACCATAGAAACTAATTAGGTAACCATAGTATTCAATCAGGGTACCATACCAACAAATGAGATAACCTAAGCAATCATTTAGATAACCATACAAACTAATCAAGTAACCATAGCATTCAATCGGGTAACTGTAACACTAGAATACAGTCATATAACTAACATAACATGACACTGTCCTCAAAACATGTATCTGGCTACTACAGCAACATATGTGGTTACTATAACAACCCATTAGATGTTAGCAATGTAACAGAAACCTGCCAGTTACTCTTGTATGCTTGTTATCCAATATGTTGCATAATATATGTGAGTATGTAGTATTGTTCTCTCTCTTCCAGAATCAGTTACAACATTCACAGCAACTTCAGTCGACAATACCACAACCCACAATAAAGGTGCTAATTTACACCACAAATCGGACTCAACCATGCACAACTGGAACACAACCCAGCATAGTCAGGACACAACCAAACACAAGCAGAAGCACACTTCTCACAACCTTGAGTTTGGATCTCTTGATCCAACCACGCTGGATGACACGAAAGAATGCAAATTCATGTTGAGTCCAATAAAAGCAGCCAAAATGCCACACGGCCAACCAGTATACTCCAGGAGTGCAAACGGGACCTCCAACGATGTTAAATATCTTGGGAAGCACACAGTACATGAAATAGATGGTCATAAATGTGTGGCTGTTCCCGGGGCTAAACACAAGAAGGTGTTCCTGAAAGCAATGCCTCTGACAAGGAACAGGCCAGTAGATGATGGAAATTCAGAAGGTCTCACTATATCTACCAGCCAGATTTCAAAAAACGTTTCCAGTGATTCTGACAGAGTAAGTATGGGATGTAGTATGGTATGGTATAGGAACAACCCTCCAAGGCGCAACAAACAAAGTAGTCAGGCCTGTAGCCAGCTTTTGCCAAAGGAGGGGGGGTTAGTATTTTAAAATTCCAGAGAGGCTCAATGTGGATAATTTTGGCCCAAATCACATGAGAAGTGCTCAAAATGGTGAGAATTTGCATGATTTTGTAAAAACTATGTAAAACTCTTAACCTACCCATGGCTTCAGGCCTACTAGTCCTAAACTTACATATATACTTTTTTCAGAGGATGACATCTATCACTTTAAGACATCTGTTAAGCGAAGGGACTAACTCAGCTAACCATCGTTACATACACAACAAATACCAAGTGTCAGGTCCAATTACTGCATCAACTGATTGGTGTGATGATTCTCACCAGGATTCACACTCTTCAACCAATTGGTGTGAAAGCAGTCAACAAAGTTCACAATCAACCGTGATCGAACCAATCAACTGGTGCGGAACTGGGATAGACTTTCCGATTGAACATGGTGACAATACAGATGGTGAAATGTGAGTGTAATTCTTTCTTTTCATGTCACAGCTATGAAATGGTGACATATTGTTATTACTACCATTTTGTGTTAGGTTAAGCTTTTGTATAGAGTATTATTGCTTGATGGGTCGCTATAGAATGAACTACACACCTATTTACACAATTTCCTTTTTACTAAGGATTCTGTTCACATGTATGAATATTATTTCGTTCAAGGCATGCCTTAGTCGGTGAAATATCACAAAATCAAATTAAAAAAATGACTGTTAATATCCGCACCTTACGCACATGGTCTCCACACCGCTTGTTTTTGTAAAGCACAGTCTGCACAGAGTGATATTTTTTCCTTCAAAACATGATTCACTTATTCATATAATCTGAAAGGTCTCCATTTTATTATGTTATCACCAGAAGTGGTGACATACTGTATTGTTATAGTCTCCAACTTTTTGTGGCCTATTGGTGTTTGGCGATCAGCATCTGTAACAAATGGCAGGTGGTGACATTTTTCATGTTAAAGTTCCAATTGTTCATATTAAAAATGATTTTGATGTTACTATTGTTCTCAGTAAAACCAAAGAGACCACAACAGAGGGGCAAGTTCCAGATATCATAGTTGCTGATGGTCAAGCTCCAGATGAGCAAGCAGTTCCAGAATTAGAATTCATCATAGCAGATGAACAATCAGGTGAATCTTCCTTATATATTGAGAATGATTTGAAATTAGCTATTACAGCACTACTAAGAAGTTACTTAACATATTGTTAAAGCTTCAATTGTGGCTGCTGTTTGACATTTGGCATCTTTCACGAAATTATAACCTTTTTGAAAAGCTCACTAGCTAGTTAGTGTGATTTTGTCATGGCGCCCAATCCCCTAACTCGAACGTGCCGGCGCTCAAGCCCTCTCGGCCAACTCATTATTCTGAGAAATTAATCTACTTGTTTTAATCTTTTTCAGGTGACCATCATGTACGTACAGGCATTCCTCCAACTGATACAACTGATACAGATCCTGGTCATGGTGCTGAACATCTTGGTCCGAAGCTCACAACTTATGAGAAAGCCATGAAAAGATCATGGGTTCGTAGAAGTTAAGCCTTTTAAGATCTAATGAAACACAAATGAATACATTTTTTTTATTTTATTCAATTAAGCGTTTACTTATCACAAATCATTTGACTCGCGACCATGTTGTTACCAAAATAGGGTTCTGTTCTAGGCAACGAGATTCGCTTCAACCAAAACACAACAAACATTAATTCAATATAAAATACATCTAATAAAAGTAATCTAAACCGCTTTTTGATGATATTTTAGTGTCACCCATTGTAATCACACAGCAAAATTACCGAGATTCCCTTCAACCAAAGTGAATTCATTGGTAGCAATTGAGCATAAAACCAATACATTTAATATGAGCCTTTACTCCACCCCTCTTCTCTCTTATGTAGCCCAAGTCTATTGATATTTGTTTATTTCAGGACTGTTATTCTCATGAAGTGAACCCACCCCAGAAGAAGCAGGATACCACTCTAAGCCCAGAATCTATGAGTAAGCTATTTAAAGCAATAGATGCTCAACAAAACAAGGCAAATGTTCAACAAAACAAGTTGGATATTCAACAAAGCAAGCCAGGTAGTCAACAAAGCAAAGTGGAGAGTCCACATAATGAACTAGATTGCCAAGAAAATAACACTGAAGGTAAACAAAATAACTTTGAAATTCAACAAAACAAACTGGAATGTCAAGCAAGCAACCTGAAAGATCAACAAAACAGGTCTGAGCAAGCATCAGTTACCAAAATTAACAACAATGAAGTCGGAAAATCATTGTCAACAGCACATACCGTGTGTACACAAAATAAGGATCAAATAGTACCAGCAAAATGTTCAACTATAGGGGGCGCCATTTCGCCACATGGAGCTAGCAGACGGAAGCAATCGATTCCTATGAGATCTCCGACTTCAGTTCAGATATCCCCCATGAAATCTCCCTTGACATCAACATCTCAAAATGGATGGAAACAAGTGAAAAAATCAACAGGGCAGACAGTTATTAAATCACACATGAAATCACCCCAAGCAAAATCACCTCCAACAATGTCTAAGGATTATAAGTCACCAAACAAGCGTGTGCAGATTCCAGTTAAGAAATCGTTTATACGAGTTAGGAAATTTACACCTGTTAAAGCGAGACCAAGTGATAAGAAATCGCCACTCCGATCCCCATTGAGCACAATATCAAACATGTCGCCAACATCATCAGGGAGTGATAACTTGGTGAAACCACATTGGTCCCCAAGAGTGTACACTATAGGTTAGTAACCATATAGCATTATCATCTCATTCAGTTCATAAATATCTCATGACGTCCTGTCATTCTGCTTTAGTTTCTTTCGAAATCTGTATTACTGTCTTCTCGGCTTGAGAGGTCTCATTTACTTTATTATCTTTATCTTCTTTGGAGGGTACTCTCTGATAGGCGACTCCATCTTTAGAGGTTCTTGTTTGTGCTCCACCAGTATCATTTTTAGCGCCATTCTGTAATTAATAGAATATCAGAATTGCTCAAGTACTCTAAAACACATCATACTTTAAAAAGGGACTTCCAAGCTAACAATGGTATATTTATCATCATTAGTTGGAAGGCAAGTGGCAATTTTCAGCATTTCAACATCACGAAATTTAGTAACAAATTTTCACTTTTCCATGAGCATGCATCCGATTTTCTCATCCATTATTTAATAAGTACTTTATGAATGGCCAAACTTCTTAATAGGGACCAATGGCACAACCTAAAGATAGCGTATCATGGAGGAGTATTGCTTTAGGTGCTATGCCATACATGTTTTCATCCTAATTTTAGGTCTCATAAAATTTCACTATATCATATTTGAAACAAGTATATAAATGAATAAACACAAGGAGCTTATGCATCTCAAAATCACAACGTCATGGTTATGACACCAGCGCTCTAGACCGCTCGACCAATTCGGCAACCCCAAAAAAGGTTGTAATAAAGTGAATTCTATGTGTAAAAATGCTTCTCTACATACCTGTTTGTTGGAGTCACAGGGATCTTTAGATAAATCAGTCTGATTCTTTGGTGCATCATGTTGGTCATCACTTTGGTTGTGTCCAATTGGGGAATTCAGCTCTTCTTGCCCAGATGTTTTTGTTGCTCCATCTTGTAATTCCACGTCATGGCTTCCTTTAGTTATTCTTCGTAACCAGTTTCTCAATTTTGCATCTGGGCAGGGGTTCCATAGATATACAATGACAAGGATAAGCAGAACAATGGCCACCAGAGACATGGGGGAATATATTTTAAGAAATGTAACCAATGGATCATATTTTTTGCATTGTGCTGGAGTCTCGGATGGTGCACTCTTGGGAGGTTCCAATGTACTGCCTATTTTGGGTTTCTGATTTGTTTCATATTGAAGCGCATAAACCTGAATCTTGTGTCTCTTCTCGTCTTGCTTTACTGTGACATACTCAAAGTCATAGTTTTCGCTGTGATGTTTATGGCACTCTAGCAGGTGACATTTGAGACCTGATTTTGTTGAACTGTCGTAGTTAATCACATTGAAACCTAATTCACAAGCATATATCATGCATTGTCTCAAATCCCTCGCTTGTTGAATTGTTTTAGAAGGACTACAGTTGGCCATTTGATTTTGGTCCTTATGACTAACCATTTTATATATGTAGGAGGAATTACAGTTTGGGGTGCCTGGATACGGAACTGTTATCCACTTTGTTGATGGAAACTTATAAGTGTCATATCTAATAGGTGAATATTTCCAATCTGTGCCTTCTTCATTACTCGGGCACCTATATCCAGTAACACGTGAAACTGCTGCAATTTGATTTTGAAAAGTGTTAGCTCCAAAGCTGCAAAAGTTTTGAAGATTTTCGTCTTTTTCCTGAAAGGATTCAACTGAGAAGCTTGGCCAACAGTTAGGCTCTCTGAATGGGAGTTCTACGGAGTCATTCCAAGACAACGTATTGCATGGTTTTGAAACATGGGATAGCCTATATATGCTAGCAGTTCTATTATTGAGCATGGGTTTCAATTTTAAATCATAATCATTTAGAGTTGTATTCCACTCACAATGCATTGTTTCACAAATGATTTCAGAATCATTGTAAAAATTGAAAGTATTTGCTTTATCATTACAAGCCATTGCCTCACATTCCCTGAGATGTTTTATGTTTTGGTATCTGGATAAGAGATAACAGCCAGAAAATGTTTTGCTCCTAATGTCCATCTTTCTTACAAAGTAGGAATTATGACACCTTTTGTTGTACTCATGTGGAAGGGCATATGTGACTCCTGCATCCTTCGTTGGTTCTTTTGTCCAACTATAGTTCCAATCTTTTTCAATGTTGTTCAATTCACACTTGTAGATTTTACAATGGTCTCCCTCTTTTAAGTGCAAAATGTATACCACATTGGCATTCACTGTGCTTGCCAAACTGAAGCACTGCTCCACAGTGTGAAAGAGGCTACCTCCAAGGAACCCAACTGGTTGTGAACAATTTGGAGAAATCTTATCATTTTGGTTCACTTTGATGAAATCAACTAAAAAAATCCAAAGAAAACAACTTTTTTTATCATACTTAAGAATGCTATTTTACATGACTTTAAGGTATTGGGCTAATTTTATGATTTACATGTAGGGAGATATGCCGAGTACTAAAATAGTACTCATGGCATTTTAACGCTGAGTGTTCATTTCAGTAAATATTAGTACTAAATGAGCACTTATGACATGAGTACTGATTTATCGCATGTTTTAGTGCTAAATGAGTACTCATATAATGAGGGATAAAATGGTACTAATCAAAGTGATTTTCAGCACTAAATGAGTACTCATATCATGAATTAGTACTAAATTAGCACACGTGACATGAGTGCTCATGAGTGCACTTTTGCCAGAGTGCTAATTTAGTACTAATTTTATACTACTTGAGTAGTCAGCATATCTCCCTGTGTAGACAAGGATCATTTTATAAATTTCTTCCAAATACCATTCCATATGTATTACATGTACATATACAGGGTGTTCACTAAAGCATGGGCTTGAAAGCCCATGACTAAAGTAATGACACTAAGTCTCCCATTTTGTCAAATTTTAAGGAATCTTGCTTAAATTTTCAGCACCATTAAAAATGTAATTGTGAGTTTATTTGAAAAGTTTTAAAAATCATGACCTTGTATTACCATACCTTATAACATTGAACCCAGTTAGTGTGTAGAAGATATCAATCTTAATTAAAGTTATGTAGAAAACTTACGGATTTGTCCTTGGATTACTGTGACATAGAGAAGGCCGGAAAACACTAATGTTGTCGCGCTCATTTTGACTGGAGCAGTTTTGAATTCAGTTAAACTGTCGTACAACACTCTTTATTGAGTCATTTTTACATTGTACAAATCTTTAAATAATTTTGAAAAGAGTTTGAATTAGAAGTACTTCACATGATGCGATGAATAACGAAGAAAGTAGCCTTTGATCTCACATTGAATCACATGATTTTTATTTTTATTCATTTTTGTCATGAATTGTAAACAGCGTAACTGGCTAGGTCATAGTAACAGTGCCTCTTACAAGATAAGTACGGTGAAACTTGTATGAAACATTATTGGCTTTAAGTTGACACATTAGGTAGATCTGCATAATGAGAATTTTGCAATTTTGAAAAGAAGACTGCTAAATTTTCTAGTTATTTATACACTATAAAGAAGAATTAACACTCAATTAATAATCTGGGTACCTTAAAGCACATTTTATGCAAAATTTAAAGGTTTAGGCCGTGTTTTGAACGAGTTATGTTCATCTGAAAAAAGCACATGGTCATCAAAATGGTAGAAAGTGCAGTCTGACCTTAAGAGGTATATATCACTGGCGGATCCAAGGAAGGGCCCGGACCCCCCTAGGATGGTCCCAGAAATATTTTTTTGGGCCTAACAGTTTTGTAGGGCCTTAATTAGTTTGCCTTTTTGGGTATTACTTGGCATTTATAGGCTTTATTTTCAATTTTAGGCCAAATTATCAAAAAATGGGCCTTGAATTTTCACTGAAATAGTCACGTATTAATGGTTTACATGTTCTTCGTTTTAAAAATAAGCTAATGTGTATTATTATTATTATATTTATTTCGCCTCCATTTTTGGAGATAATAATAATTAATTATTACAATACATATAAAAGACACATACAATAATAAAAACAATTAAAATGTTTATTTACAACCAATCCCTGATGTTGACGGACGTCAGGCTACCGCGTTGACGCCGTCAAGTTACTACTATCTGTTACATACAATAAGAAAAACAAGTTCTCCACCTAATATTTGCTGTTGACGGACGCCAGGCTACCGCGTTGACGCCGTCAGTTAACCTACACTTTACCTATTACCCTTTAGCTACAATATGATATTGTCCACCTATCATTTATCAAACCAAATCTCATTGTAAATATAAATACATAGGTGTATTACAGGCTCATCTTGGTAAAACTATATACATACATATCAGTAAAATATCTTTGCTTAAACCTATTTACTAATTAGGTAAATCGTTACATCAAATCCTCGGCAACCGATCACTACTCCCACCATTCTTATGTGGATTTCAGTTTTTCTCCGTTCTTTTAATATACATGTCACGTACATTACTGGACATTGCCTTGAGTTCATCATGACTGACACGCTCATCGCCTCCGTAGACCAATTTCAGTTTCTTAGAAGTCGTCACGTGCTCATCATTCAAATATCTGTTTATCACTATTTGTATTTGGGTCCTGTTTTCATTGTAATGTATTCCTTATTGTTGTAAATAAAAATAAGTGTAATTCTTATTGTTTTAGGTAAAAGTAATTTTACATATATTCCTATTGTTAATATGTAAAAGTAATTTTACATGTATTCCTATTGTTCAAATGTAAAAGTAATTTTACATGTATTCCCATTGTTAATATGTAAAAGTAATTTTACATATATTCCTACTGTTAATATGTAAAAATAAGCTTACGTGTATTCCTTAATATAACATGTATTAATTATTAAAGTTATTAAAGTAGGTAAGAATAAGCTTATTTAATGTTTTCTTTATTGTTTTAGGTAAAAATAAGCTAACATGTATACCGTATGGCTGGTGTCAGTATGGGGGAGTTGTTCCAAAGATTCAACAGCCCATAACGCATAAAGCCGCCATGAAGCTGGAATCCTCAGACTTCAATACAGTTATAGAAGAACAGGAAAGGTAGGGTGAACTGAGATACCTGACATGAAATGGTTATCGATTCTTAATTGGCATTTAAGGCACTGGTGGAACGAAAATATTTTTGAAAAAATTGCTATTCCTGCACATGTTATTTTCTGGAACAAAATAAAGTGTGAAGGCATGTGTGTTTTCCTTACTTTTTCAGGAAAGTATTTGTCTTCTTTTTATGTCCCCACCACATAGTGTGGGGCCATATTGTCGGCCTAGGCGGGTCTGTCTGTCTGTCCGTATGTCCGTACGTCCGGCAGTTTTCTCCACAACCGCTACAGATATCACCTTCAAATTTTCAGGGATAACTTATGAGTGCATCTAGATGTGGATGTGGATGTGGATGGCCATTTTGAAGTCAAAACTTTAACATCTTGTTCAGCTCACTTCATTCTAGATCTGATTAGGTTTTGGATCTGTTAGCTCAGTTATGTCAGCCATTTGAATGTTTTAAGAAAAGTTAGCGCGTGATAATACTTTGTATCATATTGAATGGTGTTTTTCAGTTTTCATACTTTAACTATTTTGTAGCTTTATAAATAATTTCAGCTGTACTTTGTTGTAAAAACCTATGTTATTGTTAACAGTAGTTATATGTGATAATTTTGTAAAAAGAAATCAGCAAAAACTCATAATCACTTTTTTATTGTCGGCCATTTTGGATTTTCCGTCCTGAAATCTTGTCTGTAAAGTAACTACGCATTTCCAGGTGAACTGTTTGGTAGATCAATTTCAAATTTTCAGGGATGATTTTTAGTATGAAAATCTAGATCTGATTAGTTTTTTGGCATTCTGGATAAATGTCAAGGCAGCCATTTTGGATTTTCCATCTTAAAATCTTGCCCGTAAAGTCTTGTCTACGCATTTTTAGGTAAACCGTGTGGTAGATCAATTTCAAATTTTCAGGGATGATTCTTAGTATGAAAATCTAGATCTGATTAGTTTTTTGGCATTCTTGGTAAATGTCAAGGCAGCCATTTTGGATTTTCTGTCCTAAAATCTTGTCTGTAAAGTCTTGTCTACGCGTTTTTAGGTGAACCATTTGGTAGAATTTTAAATATTTAGGGGTGGTTCTTAGTATGCAAATCTAGAACTTTTTTGGCATTCTGGGTAAATTTTAAGGTGGCCATTTTTGATATTCCGTCCTCAAATTGTGTCGGTAAAGTCTTGTCTACTCATTTTAGGATAACCATTTGACGGGATCACCCATAGGTGGGGACATTTTGTACACATTTGTGTTCTTGTAATCTATCTGGTAAGGGGTCAATGGCAATCCAGTATTGTTGAGAAACTTGGAGAAGAAATTTGAAAAATTGGAAAGGCAGCCATTTTCTTGAAATATCAGCATTTTCTGGAGTTACCATTGACTTCTTACCAGGTTTACTAAAAGAAGACAATGAAATGATGCTTTCCTGAAAAAAGCAAGGAAATACAAAGATGCCTTCATACTTTATTTTGTACCAGAAAATAGCATAGCATATGCAGGTAAAGCAATTTTTCAAAAATGTTTGTTCCACCAGTACCTTAACAATGAAAAAGTACAAAATCATCTGAAGAATTTAAATATTGTCTAGGATTTAAATTCTACTAATAATGTTTATTTTGTACACCTTGACAAGATTTTGTGTGATTCTTTAAACATGTAATCAAATGGGGAAGTTAGGACTGCCAAACTTTTGGTGGAGGGGAGTGTATATCTCTGTCAGAGAATATTTGACTACTGAAAACCTTTAAGTCATTGGTGCATTCTATCGTTAAACCTTTAAAAACAAACAATTGATTTCAAATATTGCCAATTATAATTTGATTTCAAACGTTGCCTTGTGTGCCTTTAGATAAGTCATTGGTGAATTCTATAGACAAAACCTTTAAAAACAAACAATTGATTTCAAATATTGCCAATTATAATTTGATTTCAAACGTTGCCTTGTTAGCCTTAAGATAAGTCATTGGTGCATTCTGTAGGCAAAACCTTTAAAAAAACAATTGATTTCAAATATTGCCAATTATAATTTGATTTCAAACGTTGCCTTGTGTGCCTTTAGATAAGTCATTGGTGAATTCTAGATAAGTCATTGGTGAATTCTATAGACAAAACCTTTAAAAACAAACAATTGATTTCAAATATTACCAATTATAACTTGATTTCAAATGTTACCTTGTGTGCCTTTAGATAAATCATTGGTATATTCTAAAGACAAAACCTTTAAAAATACAATTGATTTCAAATGTTGCCACTTATGCTTCTTTATTTAATTTCAAACGTTGCCTTGAGTGCCTTTAGATAAGTCATTGGTATATTCTATAGGCAAAACCCTTAAAAACAAACAATTGATTTCAAATGTTGCCACTTATGCTTCTTTATTTGATTTCAAACATTGCCTTAAGTGCCTTTAGATAAGTCATTGGTATATTCTATAGGCAAAACCTTTAAAAACAAACAATTGATTTCAAATGTTGCCACTTATGCTTCTTTATTTGATTTCAAACATTGCCTTGAGTGCCTTTAGATAAGTCATTGGTATATTCTATAGGCAAAACCTTTAAAAACAAACAATTGATTTCAAATGTTGCCACCTATGCTTCTTTATATGATTTTTTAGTGTTGCTACATATAGGCTAATATATGAGGTGTGATCCAAATGTCTTGGACGCCCTGCTCTAATTTTGTTTGTTTTTGATAAAATTGTAGTTGTAGTCTTATGTAGTTTTCTAGATAGTTTTAATAGAGGGACCCTGCCACCCTGAACAGTATTCGCACATGGCAACTTTCAGCCTTAAATGACTTGTATCGCTAGTCGTGATTATTATTTTTCTTAGAATTTTGAATGTTAAACCATGTTAGTTTACTTCCTATGTTACCAGGCAACCAATTGATTGTCTTTTAATCATAATGTCAAATATGACAATGTCAAATTCTAAGAAAATAATATCAGACAAGAAAGCCTCATTCTGGTATCACTTTTGCTCCAAAATGTCCGCTGAAATGCAACATGGGGAAATCAAAGTGAAACAAAGAATACCACAAGATATTCTCACTATTATAGACCTTGAGCAGCTATCATTTGCACCATGCAGTCTAGATATGGCTCCGTGTGAGTTTCTTCCTTTTCTCCCAAGTTGAAAGGAGGTTTGAAAGAAAATGTGTTTTACTCATTGGATGAGGTTTAGAGTGGCACTCCAGGAGCATTTGTATCACAAGCAATGGCAGTATCATAAATGCCTTCCATTCATGGGTAAAGCTGTGGTATTAAAAATGTGTTCAAATTTGTGGAAATTTTGTTGAAAAGTAGGTCTTAATATGTGAAGATGATGATGGCAGATGACATTCAGATTAAAAATCAGAAATTCTCTCGTATCATGACTGGTGTTGGGCACCTGCACCTAAAGTTTTTGACATGATAACATTTGTAGCGTGATTTGCATTTTTTAAATACTGTTCCGGGTTGCAGGGATCCCATATTAAAATATCAAGAAAAGTAGCTAAAATATATCATTTTCTGGTGAAACTTAAACACAAAGTTGTTTAGATGTTGATCTTTTTATTATCTGAAAGTTTCATGTAATTATATTAAGAAATAGCAAGTTAGAGCAGGGCGTCCATTACTTTTGGATCGCCCCTCGTACAGATGATGTTTATGTTATAATCCATTGTTTCAAACTTTGTTCAAAGAATTATTCCAGATGTTGCCATCATGCTTTTATTTATCGAAGTGTGATTTTGTATGTTGTCCAGTATGCATATTTATCAGCAAATTCACATTCTACTATACCTAACCCTTAGAAATGCATAAGATACTCTGTTTGTCCAATTGTATTGTTTGGTATATTTTTGAATGTACCTTATTAACATCTAATGTCATCCCATAAACCAATGATAAGGAACAGGCACATAAAAACAAATCACATAATCATTACTAATAAGCCAAAAGGGTTGCTCATGAACACCAAATGCAAGGTATAGTAGAATGATTCATGAATAAAAAACTAACTTTGACTCGATATGACCTTGGCTATATCACAGTACATCACTACGTCAGTTACGTGACTAGCCCTATCAGGTATGAATTGTTTTTGTATTGATTGGGCAAGCCACATAACTAAAACAGTACCTAGTATGAATAAAACATGCAGTGTACATGCTACATTGTCTGTTGTACTCTATCGTTGATTGTTTTATTAACATCTAAGAAGGCTATGTGTTAGCATTGACTCCTTTATGAGGCATTTTATTCAGCACGCCTTTTCGACACATAAAAGTGCGTTGATTAGATATGTATTTATGTAGCTGGATCATTCTGGTTTCCTTGGCACTCAATGTTAGGCAAATATATATAACCAGTTGACATAACAACTCATGTTTGTTGGCAAATTATATTGATAATAATCTTTATTACTATTATATAATATTACATAATCTTACACAATAGATTACATAACAATTATGTAACTTTATTTTTGCAAATAGAGATTTTACATGTTGGCATGCCTACTAAGGTCCTTGCGATGGCATGGGTGCACTAAGGTCCTGTCACTATTGGAAGAGTTTATTGGCTCGTGCTGAGGCAAGAGCCATATCTCACTTGGTTTTAGTAGTAAGTGATAACGACAATGGACTGAGGTTTAAACGTTAGTTTACTAGTAGAAAACCTGATGGGTTAATATTTATTGATGAAAATGAGTTAATTCCTCGAGCAATAGTTTAACCCTAAGGTGTTAGTTTATCATAAAATTGCGTTAGAGAGGGTTTCAAACGACATATACGCACATTTTACATCAACACCATGAAAACTGTTCACTGATTTTCGGCAACATGATTTCCTAAATACGACAGAAATACGAGCGATTTCACGCGGTAGTATCTCTTCGGGACGTATCGAAACCACTCCGTCCCGAAAAAACCGTTAATTTGAATTTAAAACCTACCCCAGTGTTTGAAAATCAAGGATTGTGAGTCTCACACTTCACCGTTTTTCTTCAAACTTGTTTCGTACAAAGCTTCACAGAAATACCTTTCAGTCGATACATTGTTTTCGTGTACAAAGTACCTCGTTTTAGCGGCGTTTTGGTCCCCAGCTGTGAGATAAAGCAAATTTTCATAACTTTCAACTGTAAGTCAAGTTATCTCGCCAGTCTTTTACCCATTCTCGCCCATAATTTCAGAATGGACTCCCATTACAACCTTCCATCGCTACGTCTTGATTTTTGGGCATCAAACGCAGCAGTTTCTAAATCATCCACACATCTCTTCAAATTTGACCAATACGTCCCGTCATCTTCCACTACGCCCCGCCGAGTCTATCACTATACACGTAGAGTTGCATTCTAAAACAATTTGTCCATCGATGTGTCCGTTTGTAGATTGCCATTGTCGATTCTAAATACCAATCGGATTGTGTTTTAAGATTTACCCATTCTTGTCCATTTTTAATATACCTATAATAGGGTGGTCCAAAATCGGCGGGGCGTAGTGGAAGGTGACGGGACGTATTAGTCAAATTTTAAGAGATGTGTGGATGATTTAGAAACTGCTGCGTTTGATGCCCAAAAATCAAAACGTAGCGATGGAAGGTTGTAATGGGAGTGCATTCTGAAATTATGAGCGAGAATGGGTAAAAGACTGGCGAGATAACTTGACTTACAGTTGAAAGTTATGAAAATTTGCTTTATCTCGCAGCTGGGGACCAAAACGCCGCTAAAACGAGGTACTTTGTACACGGAAACAATGTATCGACTGAAAGGTATTTCTGTGAAGCTTTGTACGGAACAAGTTTGAAGAAAAACTGTGAAGTGTGAGACTCACAATCCTTGATTTTCAAACACTGGGGTAGGTTTTAAATTCAAATTAACGGTTTTTCGGGACGGAGTGGTTTCGATACGTCCCGAAGAGATACTACCGCGTGGATTTACAGCATTAAAAAAACTCCGAAGATTTAACTATTTTATTAATATCTTCGGAGAACAAGAATCAAATTGACCCATCTTCACTTTTGATATGTTTGAATGTTTTCTAAGAGGTCCAGGTACTCAGACCTTAACAATTTAAAGATCTTAATCAGTTCAAAATGTTCGGATTTTTTCTACTTTTGCTGTTCGGTAAATTACAACCGCGTTAAAAGTAAGCATCCCTATTTATCAATACAATTCATTACAACACTGCAAACATCTCATTCACGAGCCTTCATTTTTTTAAAATGATCTCTTGTTTTCATTCACAAGGGTAGTGTGGGATTCTTTACATTTCATTAAGCAGTACATATGAATACACACTGTGCAGATTATACAATGTATAGTAATTTTAAATGCTTGTTTATACCCCTTAAAGTAGGCTCGTTCAGTCTATTTTGTAGCATATTACTTTGTTTAACTAGCAATTTGGATAAACAGTAGAATAAGGAGAGGGCGTGAAAGTAGGGCCCCTGTCATAAACTTCTTTTTAATGATTTCTGGGCACAATTTCAACTGTTTGAAGCAATATGATAATAATCTTTATTACTATTATATAATATAACATAATTTTACACAATAGATTACATAACCATTATGTAACTTTATTTTGCAAATAGGGCTAAGAACAGGCCACTAGCAAGAGAATCGTGCTTGAGATATATATGTGTTAAAGGCCCCATATTAAATTTGAATCACTTTGGGTTGTATTATTGTTCTATCCAATGTTATTAAAATGTGATATGTGAAACTTCTCAATTTAATTTCAAAAGGCTGAATTTGAAGGAATTTTTGTTCGAAAAATTTGGAATTTTTTACAAATTTTTTTAGTTATCACATATATAAATCGTTAAGTAATAATTTACACCAATGCATATCATACTTCTATTTTGTGTTGAAAAAAATAAGAAAATTTGTTGAAAAATAAGCAAGAAATTAACTTATAAGATCAAGCAGAAAAGTGATTAAGAGAAAAAAGCCATTTTTTAGTTCTCAATGAATGGTACATACACTGTAGATATATTTAAAACATGATAAAAATTATTTTCAACCTATAATTTTAATCATTTTCTTAATTTTTGAGAGAGTGAAATACAAAATTAGCTAAATGTAAATTAATACTGTAGATACATTTATTTTGACGCTACTTAATTTGACAGATTTTCTCAATTTCAAATATTGGTGGCTATTTAATTTGGCAGATTCAGGACCGAAGTTTAATTTTTGTCTATGTTTTATTCAGCACACCTTTGGGTTAGACGTGGGCATGCTGATAAATCTTCATTAGATGAGTGGATATTGTAAATAATAGAATAATTAAACTTAAAGGTCAAAAGTTTGAATCTAATGACAAGATATTAGATGACCCTCAAGTTGTTGAATATTTAGAAAATTTTCATAAAAAATTTGTTTTAGTCCCAGCAGACAAAACGTCAAATAACATTATTGTTATATGTAAAAATTCTACACTGTGTGTCTTGTTCTATTCTCGTATGAATATAAGTTTTTGCAAAAGATGATGAAAGATAAGACAAAATTCCACATAGCTAAACTTTTTAATAAAACAGATAGGTTTATAGATGACCTGTTGAGTTTGGACAACCCTGGATTTGAAAATTTTGTAAATGAGATATACCCTTCCGAGTTAGAGTTAATAAAGACCAATGAATAGAACATAAATGCGCCTTATCTTGACCTTCTCATTAACATTGAACAAGACAACAGTATATATTGTAAGTTGTATGATAAACGTGATGATTTCAACTTTGATACTGTGAATTTTCCCCATTTAGACAATAATATTCCATTAAACCCAGCATATGGGGTCTACAGTACACGGAATAACAAACCTTACACCATGCCATGCCGTCGAGATGGCGTGTGCTCTTCGTGGTAATCGCGTGCGCTGCGCGACAGCGCTTCGTTCGAACACCGTGTGTTTTTCGCTCTCACCGCGGCAGCTATTTTACTGCTTAGCGATCGCTTATCGAACGTTGCACGACCGATGCTTTGTTATGTTTCCTTTATCATTACATGCAATGTACGTATATAGTACAGGTTTGTACTTTTATCAAGTTGAGCAATGCGGTCTTGCTAAGTTTTTGCTTGAAAACAGATGTATTTTCATTTTGGCAAAATTTATTACAATGCGATAGCATTTAATCAGTTGTCAATTTGAAGGTCAGCGTTTTAATGTTCTTATTAATTCAAAGTATTGATAGTAAATATATGAGTCTTAATCCGTCTTTATGTGTTAAATTCGATACGATACGTGCTTCTTAACTCTCGTGATTCTGACTTTATGAACCATTCTAACAAATAGGAATAAATCCTGTTGTCTGTGTGTTTGTTGATCAAGGAATAATCCTATTTGCGAATCACGGCGAATGGCAACTTTTATAATGCAACACCAATCCCCTAGCAAGCGTAACAATACATTTTTCATACATTTCACTATACATATAGCGAAATGGAGAGTTTATTATTTTCCAAGATAAGACAACTTCATGGGTAAGATCCAAAGACCCACTCGGATTTAATAATCTTAAGCGAATTCCCGCTGTCATTGCGAGAATAGTCCTGTTTTGGGGAAAGTGGACCAAAAGGTTAAAAATACATATTACTCCCAATATTACAGTTCTTTGGTTTTCCAATAATACTTTGAAGAAAGACGTACTTGATAAACAATGACATGAAAAATGATTCTTTTTTACTGCATTGAAGAAACGGGCGTCAACATGCACGTTTGCATAATCTACCGTGGGGGTCGAAATACACCATTAAAGGTATAACAGTGGCCCGACTGAAAACATGGGAAGATCCTGCTTAAAACACGAGCAGATTTCACAGGTACCCGCTCAGAATGCGAGGAATGCTTCATGCCATAAGGAATCAAAAAATAATAATTCACCATTCAAATGATTTAATGTTTTGTTGATCAAAACATATATCTTGTTGGTACGAAATTCTGCCTGTCTTGAGAAAGATCTATTTAGAAACAAAAAAGTTATATTCATTTTTCGTTAAAATTAAAATCATTTTTCTTCAAAATGTTACAGTCCACACCGGGTTTTAGCGTAGAAGGTCACATATTACAGCTTGCGTGATTCTCATTTGAATTAATTATTTTGAATTCCGATAGGCAAAATATTACATGGACAACTAATGACGAAAATTGTAGAAAAATATGATTTTGCTATCGAGATAT